GCGGTACGGAAAGAGACAGTAAAAGGGAACGGACTCATCAAAGGTGACGTCCTGAGAGGCAAAGACACGGCGCGAGGCGGGGTCGTAAAACTGCCAGCCAGGCGCGTCAGAAGGAAAACCAAGGAAGACACAGGGAATGGCGCGAGCGGAGAGCTTGTCCGCGGTGGTATCGCGGACAAAGGCACGAGCACCCCAGACCCGGAACCGCGACGCATCGCCAACCTCTCCCGTCCAACGCAGTGTGGGCGAGGTTTCCGGCAAGGAGACACGGGGCCAGAGGTTGAGCTGATGCGCGGCGTACCGGACCGCAAACGACCACAGAAAATGGGGGGCAGCCGCATGGACCATGGAGGTACGAGCGACCTCCATGACTAAGCCAATGCGGCGCTCAGCAACCCCATTCTGCTGCGGAGAGGCCGGAAGCGTGAACGACTGGGTGATGCCGTGCTCCTCACAGAAGGCTCGCAAGAGGTCAGAGGTGAACTCACCACCTCTGTCAGAGTGCAGACGCAGGACGGGAAAGTCCGACTGGAACCGCTCGCGGAGCTGGAGACGAATAGCGCGGATCCAGGGGATCAAAACAGCAGGGACGTCCCCCTTGCTGCGCAAGGGGAAGACCGTGGTGTAACTCGTGTAGTCGTCGACAACCAGCAGGAAGTACTGCTCGCGGCCCTGCCCCTGGACGTGGGCTGGGCCCCACACGTCCAGGTGGAGCGTCTGCAGCGGAGCCTCTGTGGGAGGGAACGAGGAGGAGTGAGGAGCGGCACGCTGCCGCCCCTCGACGCAGGGAATGCAGGGCGGCGCAGGCGAGGGAGGGAGGGCAGGCAGAGTTTTGGGAAGCCCAAAGACCAAGGAGCGAGAGTGCATGCCACGAAGGCGGGGCAGGGAGGGGTGACCAAGGCGATGGTGCCACAGGAGAGTGTCGTGCGACAGGCGGCGACACTCACACTGGGTAGCTACCTGAGCAGACGCGTATAGCTGCGGAGACAAAGGGGTGTTGCGTGAAACAGTGGTGAGGGTGTACAGACTGGACCCAGGCTCACGAGTGAACGTGGCCAGGTGGCGGCCAGTCTTGGAGCACGTGCAGATCGCCACACGCTGCCCTCCAGGAGTTTAGGTGTCAACCCAGTGATCCTGAAGGACGGCGTTGCTCACCAAGTTCGTAGAGAACGAGGGGACGTGGAGACCTGACAGCTCACCAGACGGGACCGCCGGGTACGAAAGCACAGTCGTGGCTCGTGCAAGCACTGGGCCCCCAGAGGGGTCAGCCAGTGAAACAGGGACAGGTGCAGGGAGGGGGGTGACGGTGGTACTGTCGCGAAAGAAACAGCGAGAAGCACCAGAGTCAAGTGTAAACGTGTGCAAGGCCTGAGCTGACGCAGTACCAGAGAGGGCAGACTCACTAGCACCTAGGGCTGCAGTCTCTATACCTGGGTCAGGCGGGACACACAAGTAGCAGTCACCCTCAGCACTAACAGTCAATGCATACATGGCAGCAAGGATTGCATCATAGTCAAGATCAAAGATAGGAACATCACGCCTAAGCAGATCTGCCCAGTTGGGGAATTCAGTAGCATCAGGAAACTTGGCGCGCCAGGCGTCGCTAAGCCGAGCGAAGCAGCGGTTCTCAGTATGAAAACCGTTGCATGGGCGACCCTTGCGGGGACCAGCGCGAATGACATAGGGGCAGCGACCAGGACCCCCAGACGCCCCACGCCCGGCATACCAGTCATGGAGCTGCTGAGAAGAGGGGGTCTGGCGCTGCTGCTGCTGCTGCTGCTGCTGGCCACCACTTCTGGCCGGTCCCACTCCCGCCCCCTCCTCCACCTCCACTACCACTACCCCCTCCCCCACTACCGCCGCTGCCACCTCCACCACTCCCGGTCCCATCGCCGCCCCACCCACCTCCTCCACCCCCACGACCACCCCCACCACCTCCACCACCCCCGCCGCCTCCACCACCGCCCCCTCCACCGCCACCTCCACCACCCCTGCCACCCTTGCCGCCCCTGGTACCGCCGCGCTTCCCACTAGGAGCGGAAGCCGCTGCGACCTTCTCAGCACCGAGGAGGTCGACTGCAGTAGCAGCAGAGGCGTAGGAGGGGGCAAGAGGGGAGGGGGAGCACCCCTCAAAGAGGGGAGTGCGAGGAGTGCCACGAGCAGCACCTACAGCGAGGATGTTCTTCTCTGCTGCTAGGAGCTGCTGCTCGAAGTCGGCTAGAGTGATAGTAGTAGGGTCCTTGGCGAGGAAATGGTCCCTGACCGAGCTAAGAGTGTCAGGGAGGCGGGTGACGAGGATGTAGAGGGTAAAGTACAACGGGGGGGTGTTCGTGGCGAGGAACTCGTCGGTAAGAGCGGCACGAAAGCGGGCGTCACTAGCGCGGAGGTGAGAGATAAGGTCCTCAGCAATGGTAAAAGAGGACAGGTCGGGGAAGAGGTAGGGCAGGATGAGACGTCCTACGGCTGCAGTGGCTGGGGAGGAATTGCGCGCCACTACAGCGTCATACAGCGCCTTAGCAGTCTTGTGCTCACTAAATTGCGTGCGCTCAGTGATCGGCAGGTGGTTGCGGATAGCGAGGCGCGCAGCAGCATCGCGAGTCTGCCACTGTGAGCGGTCGAGAGCAGGAGCAGTGTCAGCGGGAGCAGCGGCAGTGCCAGACGCGTGATCGAACAGTGAAACGCCGTCTTTGGCATCAGTCATAAGAAACAGTTGCAGATCATCAAGCCAAGTGGCAAACTCTATCGGGCGACCGTCAGGCTCAAACGCGAGAACATTAAGTGTTGTCATTATTGCAGTGCAGGCAAATGCGGCAGGAACAGGCAGTAGGCAAAGGCAGCAGACGCAAGCGGTAGGCACAGGCGGCTGGCACAGACAGCAGGCAAGGGCGGCGCAAAAAGCAGGGTAAACCCTAAACCCTGGCGGCAGGTACAGGCGGATGCGGCGTGCGGGGCAGCAGCGCGCTGCGCGAGCGGCGGACGCGACGCGCGGAGCCTAGGCGGGCTGCGTGCGGGCGGTAGGTGCGGCGCGTGGGGCTGGATCAAGCCGCGCGGGCGGCGGACGCGACGCGCGGGGCCTGAGCGGGCTGCGCGCGAGCGGCGGACGCGACGCGCGGGCTGTGGACGGGCTGCGCGGGGCCGTAGCGGGCTGCGCAGGTGGCGGACGCGGCGCGCGGGGCAGCAGCGAGCTGCTCGAGGCGGCGGACGGGGCACACGGGGCAGCAGTGAGCGCGCGGGCGGCTGAAGCGGCGCGCGCGCGAAAAAAATGGCAGCGCGCGCGGGCAGCGCAGCGCAGGCAAGGCAGGGCGCTCGCGTGAGGCGCAGCGCAGGCAAGGCAGGTAGGGCAGCTCAGTAACCGCAACGGTAGGTGGGCCTGAAACGAGACGGTCGTACGGACCTACTGCTCCGAAACCATGTCAAGAAAGCTAGGCAGGAATGAATGCATTAGGTCGAAGTTGGGTACAAGTATCAAACCCTAAAGGGGTTGTACCCCATATTGGCTACCCCACTACAACCTACACAAATATAACATATTTAGTTTGACATGCAGACATGGGCCCAACACGGCTTTTAATGATCCCTCTTCAAAGACTCGTTGCTATAGAGTACTTGGAACTTACTGAGATGAAGCACTTGAATGAGTTAACCCTGTTGTTAAACTCGTTGATAAGACATAAGAAAAACACTATTCCGTAAAACCCTGGGGTCCATGAACCGGCGCTTCCAGTTACAATGCTTAAGAAGCTTTCGGTTATTCTGAGAGCGGACAACAGACCCTCGGGTGCACAATACCCTCGGGTCTATTATCTACGGGATTATGATACGAAGGAAACACCTTATTTCGTAGTACGGTACTACAAGGTGTCAGCCTGTAAGTGGAGCGGGATCTGTATCAGCGCACCAGATGGAGCGAGAAACATCCCAAGAGTACCTGGTTGATGGTGAGAGAATGAAGACATACACCAGAGGAAACAACGATTGAGATAGATGGCCTTGCATAAAGGGTGGACTGAACGATGTGGTGGCGTGTGCCCCATTGACATGGCACGATTATATGGTAAGTGGAAATTGATCAACGCATGACAAAATGCAGAATGCTGGCTGGTTTTCGGTTGGCAACTCACAAGCGTGCTATCGCAGCCATTGGCTTAGGGTCTGTTGGTAGAGTTACTGGTTGACTGGGCTGAACAGTTGTGCTCGGGTCGAGGCAGTTATCTGTATCGAAAGCCCGGAGCCCACGACAACCCCGAACACCATTTATGTTGTTCAGTGAGAACATATCTCTGAACTTCCCTGCCACCTCCTTCGAGAGTTGGTTGCAGCCATATTTTAAGCGGAAGGTGTAGGGCGTGGACGCGTTGCCTCCGGCTTTGAGATCCTGGGCGAGTGTGAGACTCATGGCAACCACTTCGTCAGGGGATCCTGAGAATAGATGGCACAAGCAGAAGGGGAAATGTGGAGGAATCAATGGAAGGGAATGAGAAGGAGGGTCATGATGCTATGGAAGGGGATGGGGAAGAAGGTGAAGACAAAATCTGACACAAGACCAAGTTGACTGGCTAAAGTTACTGCCACACTCCAAGTTAAAGATCTTCATCGTTTGCAGCATGAGGTCATAGCTTGAGGTTGAGATGCTCTCAAATTCATGACCCCTCACCATGCTACTGCACCCAGGCAACGCTCATCAAACTCAGAATCAGGAGAATGCATCATCTGATCAGCAGAGAGAAGAATATGGGCCAGTATTAAATCTTACCTTGGACGCATTCCGTTGAGGTCATTCCTGATCCCGCAGGGCACTCGCAGTACGGCACATAGGTATCATCAAAAGTTATAGTATGGACGACTTTGCAGGTGGCTCCAGAAGGGCAGGTGCCACAGGGTGACGCTGAGCAGCACAGCAAGCAAGGGAGGCACACAGTCTAGCAGAGAGATGGTGAAATGAGCACGGCAAATGGGCCAGCTACAAACTAATGTGTAGTAGACTGCACCATATTATAGAGCTAGTGGAGAACGAGTGCAATGGGCTGGGTTGGCTGTAGGGAGAGGTGGAAGCCGGGCTTACTCCAATTGCAAGAGTGAACTCCATTGGTGTTCACACAAACCCCATCCGGTTTGCAGCCCAACGCGTTGCAAGCAATGCCCGATGTGAGTGCATGGAACGATGGAGCTGAAGAAACAAAGATAAAAAGAGGGAACCAAAAAAAGCGGGCAACTCACCAATACAACGTAGTTCGCCCGGAGGCATAAGGAAGCCTGAGTCGCACGCGCAGGTTGGATCCCCGTTCTCCATCCTCACACACGTGCCATTGGGCCCGCAATTGTCTGCAAAAAAGAGACTCAGGGATGTGGAATGATATTATCATATCAAAAGATCTTGACAAACAAGGATTACAGATTTGGTGGTTTATGCATTCAGAAACTCCAGCAAAAAAATTGAGCTGAGGGGAGGCCAAGTTTCAAGGATTAGGTCTGAAACGCAAAAGCACGCCCTCTTTGTTTGTTGCACCCCTCACCAATGCAAGATAGCTTGTCGGAAGACAGCGTGAAGCCCGTGCTACAAATACAGAATGGATTTCCCTTCGCATCCTTTGTGCAGTTGCCGCCAGGCCTACAATTCACCGCATCACACTTGTCTGCAGGAAAAGAGACCCAGGCGAGAGGAGAGATGCTTTAATATCAGGAAACTATGAAATACGGATTCACACAATAATGGTAAAAAAAAATAAAAAACGTACGCAATCTGTGAATCTTGCAAGAAATCAGAGTTGCAGGGAGGAAAAGTTTGAAGGGCTGGATGTGAAGAGTAGGACATGCCCTCTGTGTTGCACCCCTCCAACTCACCAATGCAAGAGAGCTTGTCAGAAGATAACTTAAAGCCAGTGCAGCAACTACAGGATGGATATCCATTTGCATCCTTTGTGCAGTAGCCGCCTGGCCCACAATTCACTGCAGCACAATTGTCTGCAAAAACAAAAAAAACAAGGCAAGTGGAAGCACATTAGAATCTCAGAAAACTAAGATACTCGGATCTTAACAACCAGAAAACTAAGATCGCATGCAGTTGAGTACCTATTGCAAGAAATATAAGTTGAAGCTAGACCACTATTCGAGGGCTAGGTTTCAAATGCAAGGCACGCACGCCCTCTGTGTTCATTCCCCCCTCCCAACTCACCAATGCAAGAGAGCTTGTCAGAAGAGGGCTTGAAACCAGCGCTGCAACTACAAGTTGGATTTCCGCTCGCATCCCTTGTGCAGTTTCCTCCAGGCCCACACTTCACCGCATCACAGTTGTCAGCAGGAAACGAGACACAGACAAGTGGAAGGATATTATATTACATGGAAAGTGTAACTTCCGGAAATTGACATTCAAGTGTTACAAAGTTAGAATATGCGCACAATACAAGAACTCTTGCAATAAATCTGGATTGAGAGAAAGCCAAGTTTCAAGGATTGGATTTGAAATGCAAAGCCGCCTTCATTGTTGCACGCTTCAAACTCACCAATGCAAGAGAGCTTGTCAGAAGACGACGTGAAGCCCGTGCTACAAATACAGAATGGATTTCCGTTAGCATCCCTCATGCAGTTGCCACCAGGGCCACAATTCACTGAAACGCAAAGGTCTGCAGAAACATGGAATGATGATGAGTTAACAGCCATGGGGTATGCAACAGATACAGCAGCTAATGATCCATTGTAAGAATCATGGGTCAGATATACAAAGAATTTGTGTGATCAATACCATGACTCTCAACCCCCTGCAATCTCTGCCAGGAACTCAGGAACATGCTACACAGCACCAGTGTTTTCAGCACGCACCCAGTTTTGGTGATGCGTAAACAGATGTTGAAGTATAAGTTCAATAATCTCTTTAGCAATAAGAAATGATCCTCCAGCAAGTTGGCCACGTTCAGGTGACATAAAGGCAGGAAACACAGGAGAGATGAGAAGGTATCGGTAGCAGCGTACCTAGGCAAGTGCCATTGACTGCAGAAAAGCCCGGGTTGCATGCACAGGTGACGCCCTTGCTGTCACTCGTTGGCATGCACGTGGAGTTGCTGGGACACGTGGCCTGCTCGCAGGTGATGTCTACCATGGGGGGCAGGGGATATGTGTGCAGTGCGGCCGGTGAACCCATAGGGGAATGCAAAACGCTCATTTTCATAGGTTTGATGCAAGCGATGTGTGCGGCGCGGAGGCAAGGAGGCAAGGAGACAAGGAGGCAACGAGGCAAGGACGCAAGGAGGCGAGCAGGCAAGGAGGCGAGCAGGCAGGGAGGCGAGCAGGCAAGGAGGCGAGCAGGGAAGGAGGCGAGCAGGCAAGGTACGCACCAGGCTTGCAGGAAACAGACGTCCATCCAGAGATCTTCTTTGAGCCGCAAGGTGGGACGTTAGGAGAACATTGGGAACAAACGTTAGGAACACTTAGCGCGGCCAAACTCGATAACACCCTCTTGTCACCAAGACCCCACGTGCCCCCAAAGCCCCACGTGCCCCCAAAGCCCCACGTGCCCCCAAAGCCCCATGTGCCCCCAAAGCCCCACGTGCCCCCAAAGCCCCACGTGCCCCCAAAGCCCCACATGCCCCCAAAGCCCCACGTGCCCCCAAAGCCCCACGTGCCCCCAAAGCCCCACGTGCCCCCAAAGCCCCACGTGCCCTCAAGACCCACCTGGGCTCGTTGAATTGCTTGCGCAGACCGGTGAATTGCGGCTTCAGCACCTCATCCAGCACCTTGCCCTTGCACACGGGATTACCAAAGAACTGCAGCTGCTTGCACGCCACAACCGCCGCCGTGCCCGCCTCTTTCTCACGCGGCGAACCCCCTTCGTCGCTGCTGCCGCCCGCAAGCCCATGCCACCACACCTGCACGTCCTGTCCCGCTTTGTGCGCCGCCCGGGGAAGGGTGAAGCAGCGGAGGGCGTCGAAGCTGACGGGCAGGCTGACGCCCGGCACCGTGATCTGCGTCGCCACCGCCACCCTCGCATCCACCATTCCCCCGCCGCTGCCACCCCCCACCTCCACCTGCATGCTCTCACTTCGGGAAGCGCTTCCCGCGGTGATCTCGCTTTTGACGCTCCTCCTCGCTGTCACAACGTTGCCCGCGCCGCTCAATCCATGTCGTGCGTGAGCCATGGCGGCCGCTGCATGCAGGCAGCAGAGGGAGAGGGAGCAGAGGGGTGAGAGGGAGCAGAAGGGTGAGAGGGAGCAGAGGGGTGAGAGAGAGCAGAGGGTTGAGAGGGAGCACAGGGGTGAGAGAGAGCAGAGGGTTGAGAGGGAGCACAGGGGTGAGAGAGAGCGGGTGAGAGGGAGCACAGGGGTGAAGGGACGCAAAGGGGTGAGCGGAACAGAGGGGTGAGAGGGAGCAGAGGGGTGAGAGGGAGCACAGGTGTGAGAGGGTGAGAGGGAGAAAATGAGAGAGAGGGAGGACGGCATCCCGCCAGGACATGTCCCTGGGGGACTGAGGCCGCCCTAGAGCTCCCTTGCACGGACCATTTGAGCAAAAGGGAGAGAGATCGCAGAGCGGAGAGAGGGAAACAAGTGTGCGCGGTTCTCAACCGACAAGACGAGGCAACCGAAGAGAAACAGAGGACAGAAACGACTCACCTCCAACAATGACGGCAAGGACGAGGAGCGGAAGCAGCGCGGAAGGAAAGGCGGCCATTGTGGCAGAGCTGCCACGTCAGCAGCGTACAGCACGCACAACCGGCGAGTGACTTTGAGCCTCCGTCAGCCAATCGACACGCTCTGGGGTCGCACGTGTGGCGGATGTGATCTGAACAGCGCAATGCCAGACGAGGTGGTTTAGAACTGATGCTGTTAAGATGGTACAACACGAGGCTTAGTCGTACACAGGTATATCTGACGTGGTACAGGTAATGGCGCAATGGCGATGTGGTTTCGATCTGAATAGCGCAAATGCCGAGGCTAGTAGTGGTACACAGGTAAGGCTATTCGTGGTATAGCTGCTGGCCCTACTATCATGCAGCACGATATGGTACAGAAGCGGCGGAAGATACGCTTTCATGGCTGCTCTAGCGAGTGGGTTATAGACGAGATTTGGACGACCGGAGGGGCGCTGCGCTACAGTGCGATCGGGTGGCTGGATATTGATGCGTCACTTATTGATGAGTCACTTATTGATGCCTCAGTTATCGATTCCTCACTTATTGATGTGCCACTAAAAAGAGCGAGCGAGAAATGCGGCGACTGTTCTGGACGAATGGTGAGCATCAGCAGCAGTAGCGGCAGCAGCAGCAGCAACAGCAGCAACAGAGCCTATCGGAGGGCGAGCAGCTGAATTATTGACCTCGCTTGAACAAGTTTCGCTGCTCGTTGGCGCGCAGCTTTCGCTGGCAAATGATCTTTCGCTCACAACGGTTTCGTTACACACAGCCGTCCCCGCAACGTTCGCATGGTTCCCCACTGTGTTTCACGAGTTACAATTCACGTTGAGACAACAAAACCATCTCATCATAGAATTGAGTCATGCGCTATAAGCAACTATGGTTCAAAGAAATTGTTACGGAGAAAGTTCCAAACACAACCCTACTACACCACAACCCTTATTCTCCAATTCAGGCGAAACTGCACTATACACTACAGAACTTCTAGAATTGTTAGGATACTACCAGGATCTATGATACTTGTAGAACCTCCTACTAGAGTCCAGGACGGTTGCAACACATGCATGTTATTGAACGCCTGATGGTAAGACCCCATAGTATTTAAGACTGAACCTCTGAATAATGAACCCTGCTTCCAACCTCCTTCCCGTAGAAAATTCTCCACTCCGTACCCCAGCCACCTTGTTTCGGTTGAAGCAACTAGACTCTACAGCTACTACCTACACCAGTCTATCATGCTGCTGCACTAGATGGAGCTGACATTGCCACTAAGCTCGTCACTGGCAAACAGTGAACCAGAGGGAGAGGGTAGGGAGTGGAAAAGAGGGAAAGAAAAAGTGAAAAGGGAAGGGGATGAAACAGTGGGACAAGGGAGGGAAAATTTGAAAGGCAACTGGTTCACACAAAGTAAACAGTGGGAAAGGAGAGGGAAGAATTGAGAGGTGATTGGTGCACGCAAAGCAAACGGCAAGAAAGGAGGAACGCAGGAAAGGCTCACGTCAACTGGCAAGCTGGGGCATTGTTGTCTTACCACAATGACTTCGGTCACTCACACGGTGAAGACAGTACTGTAAGTGACGGCTGGAAGAGGCCCCGCAGACAGAAGCTTCCCCGAACAACTGCTGCCCCCAGAGCCGGAAAGTGTTGCACCGCAGAGTGCCGTTCATATTGTACACGCCGTATCGTGTCTTGTAGTTTCCAGCCACCTCCCTGGGAAGATCCATGCACCCGTCTAGATTGGCGCGCACGGTGTACGGCCGGGATGCCTTGCCCAGTGCCTTGGGATCCTGCACGAGCGTTATGCTCGCTGCTCCCACTACAGACTCGCCGCCTGGAGATGCGAGGTGCAAGTGGAGCACACGTTGAGTAGGTCGCTAAGTAAGGGGAGGGTTGTGAATGCTCTGCCTCTGGATGCCTCTGGATGCCTGGCCTTTGGTAGGAATGTGAACCAGTTAAGTGCAGATGCTGCCCAGACGCAACCACTACAGAAAAGGTGGCAGTGCACTGAAGCCGCCCCATGCAGGCCTGCTTGCGAGGCGCATATGTGGTTTATCAAATAGGCAGCGGGATACATGCAGTGAGGTGCATGCAGTAAGGCACATCGAATAAGGCATATGCAGTAAGGTGCATGCAGTAAGGCGCATGCAGTAAGGTGCATGCAGTAAGGAGCACGCAGTAAGCCGCATGCAGTAAACCACATGATGCAGTAAGGCACAAAGTAAGGCACCATGTCTCAGAGAAGAGGTGTCACACCTTGAATGCAAGCGTCTGGGGTCATGCCATAGCCGTCGGGACAAGCGCAGTACAGAATCGGGTTGTCTGCCTTGGACGGAGTGGTCTTGCAGGTGGCTCCAGCAGGGCAGCTGCCACACGGCGAGTCTGGAAGTAGAGACACGAGAGGCAAGAGGGAGTGCAGTAGGGAAGGGCAAGGTCACACAGGGTAAGGTTGGGATCAAGGTTTGTTTTGTCAAGGTGTGGTCTTGCAGGTGGCTCCAGTGGGGCAGCTGCCACACGGTGAGACTGGAAGTAGAGACAAGAGACGCAAGAGGGAGTGCAGTAGGGAAGGGCAAGGTCACACAAGGTAAGGTTGGGGACAACTTTGTTTTGTCACGAGCAGGTGTGGTCTTGCAGGTGGCTCCAGTGGGGCAGCTGCCACACGGGGAGTCTGGAAGTAGAGACACGAGAGGCAAGAGGGAGTGCAGTAGGGAAGGGCAAGGTCACACTGGGTAAGGTTGGGAACAAAATTTGTTTTGCTACGAGGAAGTTTGGTCTTGCAGGTGGCTCCAGAGGGGCAGCTGCCACACGGCGAGCCTGGGAGAGGCAGTAGAGGCAAGAGAGGGTATAGCAGGGCAGCGCAAGGTCAGAGTGGTTTAAGTTGGGAACAAGTTTGTTTTGTCACGAGCGAGTTTGGTGTTGCAGGTGGCTCCAGTGGGGCAGCTGCCACACGGCGAGTCTGAGAAAGGCAGTAGAGGCAAGAGGGAGTGCGGTAGGGCAGTGCAAGGTCACAGGTTGGAGACAAGTTTGTTTTGTCACGAGCAAGTGTGGTCTTGCAGGTGGCTCCAGTGGGGCAGCTGCCACATGGCGAGCCTGAGAGAGGTAGTAGAGGCAAGAAGGAGTGCGGTAGGGCGGTGCAGCGTTGCAATAAACTCGTTCAAGATGGGTAAGGGTGAGAAAAGGCTGAAAGTTGAGACATTGCTGTCCAACATGACAAGCAGTAAAATTCAATGCTGTGGAAAACAGCATGACCTTGAATAGCATGCTGGTCATGCTATTTTCCACCAGTCCGTGTCGGGCCAGCCAAACTATGGTACCACATGCCCCATTCCATGATGGCTGCTCACCCCATTTGAAGTAGCGAACGTTAGTGCGTTTTGAGAAGTCTCAAAACCCGTGTCGGGCCAGCCACCACACCACACCATGCTAGCACATGCCCCATTCCATGATGGCTGCTCACCCCATTAGCAGTAGCGCACGTTGGTGCCCATCTGCTTCACACAAGTCCCACCCGGTGAGCAACCCAAGGCCAAGCACGCAGCATCTGAAACACGAGGACACCAGGTGTGACGAGTGTAGAGAAGGAAGGATGGCTGTGAAAATGGGATGAGAATCGGTATGAAAACAAGATTACTGTATAGCAGAAAAACTGTTTTGTGACGCAAGCAACGCAAGAAATGGAGTGCCGCGTTGAGAAGAGCTTGGTAATGGGAAAAGGGGTCAACAGAATTAAAACTCTGCAAGCAAGCAAACATCAGAACGTTGTGCTGATATAGATTTTGGGCACGAGAAAACGAGGCAACAAGAGAAAACACTGCAAGCCTGCTTTTCGGTTTCAGAGCACAATGGCTCACCAGAACAACTGCCGTCGGCAAGCATGTCAAATCCCTCGTCACAGGAGCACGATGCAACCCCTGCCTTATCCTTGCTGCAGGTGGCGTAGGCCCCACACTTAGAGCGTCTGCACTGCAACCATGCAAACCTGCTGTATGATTCTGAAGCACCATGTCTCACCAGAGCAAGTGCCGTCGGCGAGCATGTCCAAACCCTCGTCACAGAAACAGGACGCAACCCCTGAACCATGCCTTCATGCATGCTGTGTGATCCTGAACCACTACGACTCAGTGTCTCACCAGAGCAAGTGCCGTCGGCGAGCATGTCTAAACCCTCGTCACAGAAACAGGACGCAACCCCTGAATCATGCCTTCATGCATGCTGTGTGATCCTGAACCACCACGACTCAGTGTCTCACCAGAGCAAGTGCCGTCGGCAAGCATGTCAAAGCCCTCATCACAGGAACAGGATGCAATTCCTGACCCATCCTTGCTGCACTTGGCGTTGGCCCCACACTTGGCGCATGTGTCTGTGATGCATGTGCCATGAGAAAAGGCGGGTTGAGTTGAGACAGATTTGAGAATGGAAAAACGAGTCAACAGCAACAAAACAATGCAAGAGAGCAACACGAGAAAGGATGTGTTGAGATCGATTATGTGAAGGGGATAACGAGAGGACAAGAACAAGGTTGGGCTTTAAAGCAGACGTGCCATGCCTCACCAGCACAAGTGCCATCGGCAAGCATTTCGAATCCCTTGTCACAGGAGCAGGTTGCATTCCCTGCCTTATTAATACTGCACGTGTCATTGGCCCCACACTTCATCAAAGCACATTTGTCTGTGACGCAAGCGTAACGGGAAAAGGGGCGATGAGTTGAGTTGAGATAAGTTCGAGAATACGGCGACGAGTCAACAACAACAAAACACTGCAAGTGAGAAACATGAAAACCGATGTGTTGAGATGGGTTTTGGGAACGGGAAAAAAAAAAAAAAAAAAAAAAAACCACATACACACATAGCAAGCTTGATTCTTCATTCAGAGCACTGCGCTCACCAGCACAAGTGGTATCAGGAAGCATTTCAAAGCCCTTGTTACAAAAACAAAAAGGTCCTGCCCCCTGGTTGCCACAAACAGCGTTGGCCCCACAGTCCCTCGGACAAAGTTCTGTGATGCAAGCGACACGAGAAAAGGTGCGTTGGGGATATGAGAA